ATAAAAATAAATTTAATTTAACAAGGTAAATAATTAAAATTTTATATAAATATATTATATAAAATTGTATATATAAATCTCTACTCTTATCATTAATATATGTTTTTAAATGGTTTCCAACTCTTTGGTCAATTTTCTTGGAAATATCAGGTGATGCCAACTCCTTAGGGCAAGAAATGAATGACCAACAAGGAGTTAAATCAAGTAGTAAGCGGCTTGTTCCAGTTTAATTATGATCTCGAGTTTGAGACTTTGTGTACGTAATAGCCTTCGTTGGAAGACTCACTCACCATTTTCAGGTGTGCGACGCAAGTCGGTCCAGATTAGTCGGGACGAAGTCCCGGATACCGAACAAAAAACCAAGAAAAAAGGAATGAATGAATTAAGGAGGAAAATTAATTTAGAGGTTCATGTCTTTTAAGTCAAGTTGTGTATTAAAAATGTAATTTGAATATTAAAATTATTTAATGTTATTAATAAAATAATATAAATAAGAATCTTATTAAGAATATTTTAATTATTTTTTATTATACAATTCGGTATAAGAAACACCTTTTTATCTAATTTTATTGGTATATTTTTTCCATTAAAAAAAAAGGAAATTGGTATGATTTTGTTGTTGGACCCAAGGTGTTTTTATTCAATTTGCAATCTTAAAATTAGTTGCTTGTTAAATGATTTTATGAGAACAATCTCATATTGACTTAGTTTATTTAAATAAATTTTTAAAAAATATAAGTTTTAATCTTTAAACATGAATCTTGTTACTGATATATATATAAAACTACACTTTCTTAGATTCAACCATTAAATTATATGATTGATATGGTTATTGTTTTTATTTGTGTACTAAGGAAATTGGGGGAAAGAGGATGAAAAATGGGGAATAAGGAGATTTGAATTTTGATAATGTAAATAAAACACTCGTATAATAATCACACGAATCATGCACTAGGTTAGATATAATTATTATTATTAATTATTCCCAAGACAAATAACTCTAATTAAGAAAAATAACATTAAAACTCTGCCCTAGAAAAAGTCTAATAAATAATAATAGGAATTTGTGAATAAAATTTATTCTATATTGAAAGCATGTAAGAAAGTTTAATAATGAGAATTTGTGGACAGAATTGATTCTATTACGTAAGGAAAATAAATCCTAAAAAGCCAATTACGAAAGGCCTACTGCCTTAGGACTTGATTTTTTTGGTTTCTCGCTCAGTATTTAGGGTTTCGCCCCGACTATTCCATACTCAATTAGCTGTGACGAACCAGAATGGTGAGTGGGTCTCCCAACGAAAGCTGTTACGTACACAAGGTTTCAAACTCGAAACCTTGTTTAAGCTGGAACAAACCACTTACCACTTGATCCAACCCTCATTGGTCTACTGCTTTAGGACTTGTGGTCCAATGATAAATGCACATTCTCTCTCTTTTTAGTGGTGACTTGAAATTTTTCAAGCTAATAATGTCGGTGCAGTTCAACTCAAGATTGATTTAGGAGCCATTAAACATGTTTCTCTTCTATTTGATATGAACCCTTTTTAAAAACGCAAAATACCCAAATTCACCCCCAAAGTATAGTGGTATGGATGTATCTACCCTCGAACAAAAAACTGAGACAAATCCACCCATAAAATTTTTGATTTGGATAAATCACCCTAAATTTAACGTGTGACGTCATATGACATCAGCGATCTGTTAATTTGACATCATTTGATGTCAGCAATCCGTTAACGAATTAGCGAATTGCTAATGTCAAATGACGTCACACGTTAAATTTGGAGTAATTTATCCAAGTCGAAAACTTTGTGGGTAGATTTGTCCTCATTTTTGTTCAAGGGTGGATCCGTCCCTACCATTATACTTTGAGGATGAATTTGGGTATTTTACCTTTTAAAAAATTTTATGCACAAACACCTAATATCTCTTCCCTCCATTATGCAAAAATTCAATAAAAGAAAAACTTCTTAATAATTTATCAACCTGATAATATAAAAGATACTATTCATATTTTACATATTAAATTGTATATTTAAAATATAGTTTGATTTGTAAAATTATTAAAATATTTTAATAAAATAATATTAAAAATACATTTTAATAAATATATATCAAATTATATTTTTAAAATATAGTTTGA